GAATGAGGTATGGTCAGGTGAACCCTCTAACTATTCATACTTACGAGTATTTGAGTGTCCAGCTTATTATCACGTTAATGAAGAAAAACTTGAACCAAGGGCTAAGAAGGCCATATTCGTAGGGTATGTGGATGGAGTAAAAGGGTACCAAACTTTGGTGTTTGTCTTTACTCAAATTTATAGTTAGTAGAGATGTCACCTTCGATGAATCCTCTATACTTGATCCCCGTAAAGTTTCCGTGGAGTTCTTAGGAAACAAGAACGACGAGCAGGTGGAGCTTCCGGTGGAGGTTGTCAAGGAAAAAGATCAAGAGACTCAGGTTAAAGATGAGTTAGAAGATGTAGACCTTGAAGAACTTGCTGTCAATGAACCATACACAATTGTGAAGGGGAGGGAGAAGAGGCAGATACGAGAACTGGAACGCCTTATAGATCAAGCAAACTTGATTGCATATGCGTTCGTAGCTGCACAAGAAGAGATTAAGGATCTGGAGCCCTCCTCGTATATTGAAGCAACTTCTTGCAAGGATGCTGTACAATGGCGGTTAGCCATGACTGAAGAGATGGAGTCTCTTCACAAGAATCAGACATGGGTCTTAGTGAAAAGACAAAAGGGGAAGAGGACAGTTGGATGCAAGTGGGTCTACCGAAAGAAAGAGGGAATTCCTGAAGTGGAAGATGCTAGGTTCAAGGCAAGATTGGTTGCAAAAGGTATCCGTCAGAAGGAGGGAATTGACTACAATGAGATTTTCTCTCCAGTCGTGAAGAATAGCTCAATTCGTGTGCTACTAGCATTGGTTGCACAATTTGACTTGGAGCTTCAACAGCTTGATGTCAAAACTGCTTTCTTACACGGTGATCTAGAAGAAACAATCTATATGGATCAGCCTGAAGGTTTCCTAGATGAGGGAAAAGAAGATCACGTATGCCAACTAAATAAGTCTTTGTATGGTTTGAAGCAATCCCTTAGACAGTGGTACAAGAGGTTTGATGCATTCATGACTACACATGAATTCTCATTTGATAGCTGTGTGTATCACAAGAAGATGTCTGGTAACTCAATGATTTATTTACTGTTGTATGTTGATGATATGCTTATTGCTGCTAACAACATTACAGAGATAAATGCTTTGAAGAAACTGTTGAGTAAGGAATTTGACATGAAGGATTTAGGAGCTGCAAAGAAAATCCTTGGTATGGAGATTTCAAGAGAAGACGGGGTTGTACATCTTTCTCAGAAAAGGTATATTGAAAGGGTTCTCGAGAGATTCAATATGCATAGGTGCAAGCCTGTAAGTACACCATTAGCTCCTCATTTTAAACTTTTAGAGTTACAAATGCCTCGGTCCGAGAATGAGGTGGAGCATATGTCAAAGATTCCTTATGCCAGTGCAGTTGGTAGCATTATGTATGCTATAGTATGCACACGTCCAGATATTGCTCAATCTGTAAGTGTGGTAAGTAGATACATGTCCAGCCCAGGAAAGAGGCATTGGGAAGCTGTCAAGTGGATATTCAGATATCTCAAAGGAGCTTCTGGTGTTGGTCTGACCTTTCGAAAAAGTGGGGGAGGTATTTCAATTCTCGGTTATGTAGATTCTGACTATGCAGGAGATCTTGACAGAAGAAGGTCCACAACTGGATACATCTTTACCCTCGTTGGCAGTGCCGTTAGTTGGAAGTCGACTCTGCAGTCGATTGCCGCTTTGTCTACGACAGAAGCAGAATACATGGCAGCAGCGGAGGCGGTGAAGGAAGCTATCTGGTTGAAAGGTTTAGTAGCGGAATTGAGTTTGGTTCAGCTGGAATCAACTCTTAGATGTGATAGTCAGAGTGCTATTCATCTAATGAAAAATCAGAGATTTCATGAGCGCACTAAACACATTGATGTCAGATTTCATTTTATTCGAGATGTTATTGAAGAGGGAACTATCAAGGTCGTGAAGATTATCACAGACGATAATGCTGCAGGCACGTTGACCAAGATAGTCCCACTTGCTAAGTTTGCACACTGTAAGGACTTGGCGGGTGTGTGCATCAACTGATGCAACTCCGACGAGAACAGTTGTTAGGTGGAGGTGGTATGTTCAACAATGGTTTGATTCTTCTTGTTTCTTACAACGGGGTTGCCCAGTAAGCTTAGAAGTTTTGGCCAGAGTTGTTCACACGCACGCTCGAAATGCAAACCAAGGTGGATATTGAAGATGTTGGTTTATGTTTAGTCAACAATGGCATGCCAATTGGAAGAGTTGGTGGAAAGAGTTGGTGTGGATGCTAGGAGGAAGCTTCCTCCTTTAATGTCACCCATGACATCAAGAGGAGGTAGTTTGATGTCACCAATGACATCAAGAGGAGGTCTTTACCTCTATAAATAGATGCACTCCTTCATTTGTAGAAACCATCCCAAAAATAATACAATACATTGTAGTGAGTAGAGAGTTAAGAGAGAAATTCTCTTAAGTGTAATTGGGAACTCTCCCCTTCCTTTGTTAATAATAAAAAGACAACTGTTCTCTGATAGACGTAGGATTATTTTGATCCGAACCACGTTAAATCTTGTGTTCTTTCTTTTACGTTTCCGCTAACACATGTTTATTTTACTATAATACAAGGAGCCTATTTATATCTATGTTCTAAAATTACATACTACTCCTATTCCAATGTGGGACTAAGCATACTAATATATACATAAACTATCTAACAACATTTTGTCATTGAGTGGGAGTGGTACCAGAATTAGGTACAAAAGTATTTCTTGTATTCTCTTATATGTCTTTTATGCCTACCTCTGTTTAATAGGTTCGAGCTGGTTGTTTCTCGGAGATTCCCCCTAGCTCTTTGGCTGGACATCCACTTCTGAGTTTCGTTTTCAACTCTTTACAGGTAATATGTATTGCTAAACCTAACATGCATTGGTAATGGTCTAATGGTTTCTTCAAGTTGCTTCAGGTTCAGAAGTTATTAATGCCCATTTACCTACTTAAATGGCTAACAGGTTTCGTCTTCATTTGATCTAGCCATTGAAGTTCTGACTGAACTAGTGAGTCGACATGAGGTAAAAGATTCATTTTCTTCTATAGTAAATTATGTGAGATTCTCCACTGGTTTCTTTATTTATTTTAAGAAAAACAGAGAAAAGGGATGGGAAAATACATATACTCTCCCCATGAATTGGACATTTGGAGCGTGAAGTAATATATCATGGGTGGTCCAGCATTGGATAGACCAATTACGAAGATGAGTCCGGCTCTGACCATTTTAAAAAAAAATATCCAACCCAAAACCTTAAAACTATATGTAAAGTGACCAAGATCTTTATAAGCCCTTATAACTCATCTCAGACGTATTTAAGCTAACACCCTCACATTGTGATTCAATTTCGAGGTTCACACACAAATTTAGTCGTAAGTTTACTATTTTGAGAATTGGGTAGCCAAAAGTTGGCCTGATATGCCGTTAAGAAAATGGACCTTACGCCTAACTTAACTCCAAAAGTTAACTTAATTGACATTCTAACACCCACCTTCTAGGGTTGGACATTTGGAATGTGTTAACTTATATAGTCGTCTCATGTGGATTGTGTAAGGGCTTTTTTTGATAAGTAATTGTAGAGACTGTATTGATGTATAACAACAGAAGTTGAAGTAGTTACATCCAAAGAGAATCAAACATTACATGGAGTGTAAAGAGCTTAGAAAATCTATCAAGATGAGGGGCTTTAAAACTTTGACCGTGGCCAAGTTACACCATTGGTACCAGAGGTGGCCAGGATTTTCCGGGTGTCAAAAAGTAAACAGGATAGAGGCTTACAGTGGCTGGGGGCTGTGGACTGACAGTCTGTGGTGTAGCAGCGGCGGCAAGGCAATGGGAAGGTGAGTGTCGGACAATGAAGATGAAGTGGTGCTGGCAGAGGAATTGGGGCAAAAAGAAGAGGGTTTTATTTTTGACGCGAGATAGAAGGTTTTGTGGGAAAAAAGAAACTTTTGGGAGCTGTTTAGACATAATTTGGTTGAAATTTGAAAAAGAAAAAGTATTTGAAATTGGCGTTGATCTTTCATTAAAAGAAGATGAGAAAAATCAACAAGAATTAAAATATAAAAACAAGTTACCAGGAACTAAAGAAAAAGAAAGAATATAAGAGGACAATAGAATAGGTGAACTCGGATGTCTCTATAACTAATTGTTGCAGCAAACAAAAAGATTACAGTTGCTAGTAGCTAGCTGGAGTCGAATTCCAGCAGCTTAGTTTAAATATTAGGCCCTTTGCGACTGGCGGCACCCTGAGCAATTCGAAATGTGGGTGCCTCTTTAATATAATTATACTATTTCTTCTATGTGTCTACATACACATACACTGTCCAGACCGAGGATTGTGGGTGGCGATGCACCCTTCCTCTCTATGTAGACCGCCCCTGATTGGTACTCTTATGTGTAAGGATGCAGGGAAGATGTGAATCATTTGCTGCTCCATTGCCTGATAGCGTACTAGTTGTGGTGTACCATATGAAACATATTTGGGGTGGAACAAATAATACCAAAAAGTATTAGATATATGTTTGCAGGGTGTAAGTCCTGAAGAAAGAAATAATTGGAAGAGCGTGGGAGATAGCTCTGTTGGAAATCATGTGAACTATATGGAAGGAAAGAGAAGCGCATTTGAAGAATTGAAAATATATGTGCATGATTGAGTGCTATTAGTAGCGAATCATACTTGTTAATATTTTCTACTTTTGTTGTGCATATTGTATGGGGGATTCTCCCTTTCAAACAATAAAATTACTTATTTCATCAAAAAGTAACTAATATGGGATCCATCTGGAAGATTTACGCCAAACAAAATTGGTCCAAGTTAGTTCTCTTCTTTGGATTTTAAACGAACCTATTGTACTTTTGCGTTTGCAGTGTATACCACAAGTTTTGTTATGCAAAGTTGGATTTCTTAGAGATATACTTCTTCTCCCAGCTCTTAACAGTGGAGACGAGACTGTGATAAGTGGTCTTGCTTGTTTTTTGTCAGAAATTGGTCATGCTGTAAGTATTTTCAAACTTCCGAGCTGGAAAAGGGTCTTCTACTCTATTGATTCTTGCAGTCAAATAGACTAAATGAGTCCTACCTATGCTTCAAAAACTTAGCATCAAGGATCTGCGAAACTAATTAGCTATTTTTTCCCTTTATAATAGGCTCCTTCTTTGATTGCTGAAGCAAGTCCTGAAGCATTTGTACTGACTGATGCACTCTTGAGGTCAGATGCCATTTCTTATATTTGCTTTATGTGTTGCAAGCAACTCATTTACATAGGTTCAAAGTATGAAAGCATAAAATCCTGGTTCTATCATCATTGATTAAATCCATCGTAAGCATAGTTGACTGTAAATCTGAAGCTTTCTTTATACTTCCCCTATTGCTGGCTTCTTTCACCAAGAGAGGCGCTTGCATTAATGAATTCAATTGAGATATAAAGTAGAAGAATCAGTATGGTCCCAAGTGAAGTTAATGCTCCTTTATCTAGTTGACACTGTCTATCCTGATATGTTCTTCAGTTGTATTTTATAAGGAATAGGCTGTTTGAGAATCAATCTTTGAGTAGATTATTGGGGATACTGTCAACATTGTTTTTGCTATTATCTAGAAGTTGTGAAGGTTTTGTGGATCTGGTTGAAAATTGGTGGAACTACTATAAGGTGCAGGGATCTCTAGAACCCAGGTATTAGCCAGTAAACTGAGAATATTAAAGAATGATATGAAAAAATGGAACTCTGAGGTGTTTGAAGTCAAGAAACAGCTACTATTCTGTAAAAAATACATCAACTGGACAGAGTTACAGTAGAAACATGGTCAATGAGGGTTCATATAACCGACCTCAAGCTTGTTTGAGATTGAGGACCTGAGGCGTAGTTATTATTTGTTTGACAGAGTTACAGAAGAGAGAAATCTGAAAAGGGAGGAAATAGCTCCAAGGAACACACTGGAAAAAGAATTGGAAGTGACTGGTAAAGTTGAAGAGACACCTTGGAGGGAAAAATCCAGATATTTATGGTTAAGGGAATGGGACAAGAACATTTTTTGAGATGATGGCAAACACACAGAAGGTATAACAACATTGATAAACTGCTGGTTGATGGAACAGAAACTGAGGATCCAGATGCAATAAAAGGGGAAATCTTGAGTTATTACAAAAATATGTTCCATGAAGCAGAAAGTTGGAGCCCAGATTGGATGGACCAAGATTTGAAAAAAATTTCAGAGCCAGACAGGGAATGGCTGCAGAAATCCTTTCCAGAGGAAGAAGTTCTCATGACATTAAGAAAGAGGGCAGGAGATAAAGCTCCTGAAATCTGATGGAAAAAATTGAATATTTACACTTGGAAGAGAATTTTGAAAAGAGTCTAAATGCAACCTTCTGCCAATTGTGGGACTATACTGGGTTTGTTGTTGTTGTAGTCTAAATGCGACCTTCATTGCATTATCTCCAAAAAAGAAAGAGGCTACATAGCATTGGGATTTTAGACAATATGCCTTTTAGGCAGTGTCTAAAAAGATCATAGCTAAAGTCCTCATTGAGAGGCTAAAAAGTGTAATGGGCAGATTGATCTCAGGCACATAGATGCATTTATCCATGGGAGAAAAACTACGGATGCAATTTTAGTTTCCAATGAGTGTTAGACTCAAGAATGAGGTAAGGAGAAGCTGGAATAGTTTGTAAATTAGACTTGGAAAAGGCCAAAGACCACCTAAACAGGTCTTTTCTGTTGAAATTGTTGGTACACATGGGATTTTGTGACAAATGGGTAAATTGGATGAAAGATTGCATTACCTCTGTGATGTTCTCTATCCTCATTAATGGCAGACCAGTGGGCTACTTCCCATCAAAAAGAGGCATAAGGCAAGGGGATCTCATCTCTCGTTACGGTAAGTATTGGGAGCTTTGAGCAAGATGTTAAAAATCACAGGCAGAAAAGGCTGGATCAAAGAGTTTAGAGTGGGAAATGGGGGTAATAATCAGCTGGATCTTTCACATTTGCTGTACGCAAATGATACCTTGATACTATCAGTACTTCCCGTAAATCTGTCCAAGAGCTGCCTGTTTCCAGTGAACATAGTGAACAACATTCAATCCCTGGCTGCAATACTAGTATGTAAATGTAACATTTTCATGCTACTTACCTTTGTTTACCACTGGGTGCTCAACATAGACAAGGAGTAATCTTGAAAGGTGTGTTGGGTAAGACTTACACTAATAAATAATGTCTTAGACGGGATACCGAGTGCAAGTTCAGTGCCGAGCCGAGGGAAGCGGGCATGGACGTGAGGCTTGGATCGCATGTGATTCCCAAGAGAGGCAGTTTCAAGTAGCTTGGGTCGGTTATCCAGGGGGATGGGGAGATCGACGAGGATGTCACACATCGTATAGGGGTGGGGTGGATGAAATGGAGGTTAGCATCTGGAATTCTGTGTGACAAGAAAATGCCACCGCTACTCAAAGGTAAGTTTTATAGAGCGGTGGTTAGACCGACCGTGTTGTATGAGGATGAGTGTTGGCCAGTTAAGAACTCACATATCCAGAAGATGAAAGTAATAGAAATGAGGATGTTGAGGTGGATGCACGGGCACACTAGGATGGATAAGATTAAGAGTGAAGATATTCGGGAGAAGGTGGGCGTGGCTCCCATGGATGACAAGATGCGGGAAGCGAGGCTCAGATGGTTTGGGCACGTACATAGGAGAAGCCCAGATACCCCGGTAAGGAGGTGCGAGTGATTGGCGTTGGTGGGTACGAGGAGAGGTAGAGGGCGGCCTAAGAAGTATTGGGGAGAGGTGATTAGGCGGGGTATGACGAGGCTTCAGATCTCCAAGGACATGGCCCTCGATAGGAAGCTGTGGAGGTCGAGCATTAAGATTGTAGGTTAGGAGGTAGTTGAGCATATTTCTAACTCGTACCAGTGTGAGGCTAGTCTGATAGGATTTTGTCTTAGACTGCTAGTGGCCAATGTTGTGTTCACACTACTCTTTTGTTTTCATAGTGTCGGGACTTATTTACTAGTTATTATTTTTGCTTTCTATCTGTTTACTGGTTCTTGTGATGTTATTATTATTGCTATGATTTTATTGATGGTACTGATATATTGTCTCTTTTCGTCTTCTTGAGCCGAGGGTCTATCGGAAAAAGCCTCTCTACCCCCTCGGGGTAGAGGTAAGATCTGCGTACACACTTCCCTCCCCAGACCCCACTTGTGGGATTTTACTTGGTCGTTGTTGTTGTTGTTGTAGGGGATACGGACATAGTACTTGTCTCTACATGTATTGCCCTAAAAAATTGTAAATCGGCTTGACAAGCTAAGGAGGGATTTCCTATGGTCAGGGAATCTAGAGAGCCATAAATTTGATCTAGTGAAGTGGTCCAGAGTCACCACTCCTAAACAGTGTGGTGAAATAGGGCAAGGGATTTGAAACTAAATCACAAAGCGTTTAAATGGTTGTGGAGGTTTAGCAGTGATCAAGATGTTTTATGAAAAAAGTTTTCGCTACTCAATATCGAACGGTAAACTGTTGGTGTACCAAACAAGTGATATGTTCCTCTGGGTTTGCACTACGGAAACAAATAAGAAACTTATGGGGAGAATTTAAATTATTGACAGTGATATCAGCTGGTGATGGGAGGAAGAAATAAATGTGGGAGGATCCTTGGCTAGAGGAATCCCCATAATGATTTCCTTCCCAGATTTGTACAGCTTAGTTCCGAAACAACAAGCCATAGTGGCAGATAGACTTGGAGGTGGATGGAATTTAGTGCTCAGAAGAAATTGTTTCGACTGGAAAATAGAAAGGTTGGTTCAATCTTTTTTGCAACTTGACAGCTTCCATTTATTAGCAAAAGAGCAGGACATATTATTTTGGAAAGCTGATAGCAAAGGAAAGTTTACCGTGAAGTCTTGCTAAAATTTTATGCAAACCAGCAGGATTACAAATGGCCGTGGAGGTTGATTTGGAAGATGAAAGCCTCCCTAATAGCAGCCTGTTTTGGCTGGTTAGCAATGTCAGAAGCATGTTTAACTCAAGACCTACAAGAAAAGGGTGCATTATCTGTACTAGGTGCTACATGTGCACAATGAGATTGAATCTACTAATCATATTCTCCTTCGTTGTACATACACGTTGTAGGTATGGTGCCTTAATCTATTAGTATTTTGGGATTCAATGAGTGATGCCTCAATTTATTAAAGAAGCTCTGTTGGCATGGAAGGATAGAATGTCAGGAAGCACCTCCGGCAGATCTGGAACACGATTCCCATTTGCATTTTTTGGATAATTTGGGGAGAAAGAAGCAAGAGATGCTTTGAAGTTAGGTCTAGTTTTCACATATAATACCTGGTGTAATATGAAGCTACAAGATATTTTTGTAAATTTCTTAGAATCCCTTCAATCACGAGGGGATAGGGAAGTTCTATTTTGATGTACATAATTTTTGGGACCTTCATGGTCCATCTAATAAAACATCAATAAAACATTAATAAAACATCTTTTACTTATTTAAAAAAAATGCAGTTTTAATACATCTCAGTATCTGACATGTCCTGTCTGATGGCAGTTGTGTTTCATTTCCAAGTGAAGATTGGGAGATTGCAGACTCGACTTTGCAGTTCTGGTGCTTTTACCTTTTCCTGATAAAGTTACTTTGTACAAACTGGGGCCTGTTACTTAGCTATTGACAGGGTCCAGAGCAGATTGCTGAAATGAAATGTGTAGTTCAAACGGTTCCCCTATCCAAGAACACTCTCGCTTTGCAGGTGCAGTCTTGCCAGCTTCATCCTGGGCCTGGATGTAGATAGTGGAGAAAATGCTAAGAGCGTCAAGGTCTTATTTTTTCCTGTTTTCTCGGCGTTGTTGGATGCTCTTCTGTTGCGTTCTCAGGTTAGCTTCTATTTGCATGCATATGTAGTGCATATTATTTCTTTATTCTGCTTATATTTATTTCCATCCCACAAATTGCTCTATTGGCCTCTCTTTTCATTAACTAGCATGTGGATTTGTTGGATTTTACAATAAAGTTATATGGCAACTTCTATTCTTCACGGGGAGTGTATCTGTGATAATTGAAAGAATATTGTGCTTATAGACTTATCACTCAACAAGGTTTCCCAAGGTATCACATATGGAAAGAATATTGTGCTTATAGACTTGTCACTCAACAAGGTTTCCTAAGGTATCACATATGGAAAGAATATTGTGCTTATAGACTTGTCACTCAACAAGGTTTCCTAAGGTATCACATATGGGGATATTTTCCAAATTATTCCTTTTCCCTGGTTTCATCTTTCATTTAGGTGCTACTTTCATTGTGATCATCTGGAAATTGGAGGGAAAATATGCCCCTTGGCTGAGGTATCACGGTTGTTTGCAAGTCGTGTCATTTCTCACTCTACTCTTAAGCTTTACATCTCTATCTCCTCAAAAATGTATAAGGCATATTTCCGTTGTGAGATCTCAAAACCTGAGCTAGACTGAGCGACCTCAATATCCAGAAAATACTTTAATCTGCCCAGATGTTAGTCTGAAACTGCTGAAAGAGATGTTGCTTCAACTTAGTAATACTATCTTGATCATTGTCGATAATAACAATATCGTTAATATAAACCACCAAATAAATACAGAAATTTGAAGCTGAGTGCTGATAAAGCACAAATTGATAAGCTTCACACCAAGTCATGCCAAACTCCATGATAACTGTGCTGAACTTACCAAATCAGGCTCGAGGAGACTGCTTTAGACCATAAAGTAGCTGGCACAAGCGACATACAAGGCCATTAAACTCCCTATGAGCAACAAAACCAGGTGGTTGCTCCGTATAAACTTTATCCTTAAGATCACCATGAAGAAAAACATTCTTAATGTCCAACTGATAGAGAGGCCAATAGCGAATAGAAGTCATGGATAGAAAAAGGCAAACTGATGTTATTTTAGCCACGTGAGAGAAAGTATCACTGTAATCGAGCCGAAATATCTGAGTATATCCTTTGGCAACAAGACGAGCCTTAAGACGATCAACCTGGCCATCTGGACCAACTTTGACTACATAAACCCAATGACAACCAACAGTAGTTTTACTTGAAGGAAGAGGAACAAGCTCCCAAGTACCACTCGTATGCAAAGCAGATGTCTCGTCAATCATAGCTTATCATCATCCTGGATGAGACATTGCCTCAGTTGTAGACTTAGGGATGGAAATAGAGTACAAAGAAGATACAAAAGCATAATGGGTGATGACACACAATGACACGTTAAACCGACATAATGGGGATTAGCATTAATTGTGGTTTGTATACCTTTCCAAGGTGCAATCGGTGAACTAGGAGACAAGTCCGTAGTAGGAGTAGGGTTAGGTGCAGGACGTGAATCAGTTGGGCGTGGCCGACAATGATAAGTCATAAGTGGTTAGGGATCTAGAAGGAGCAACACTAAACTCCTTAACGGTTGGTATGGGTAAGACTTCTATGGCTGAGAGTGTAGGAGGAGCTATAGTAAACTCCTCAAAAGTCGGTATAGGTAAGACCTTAGATATATCAATGTGGTCAGGAAAGGTAAAGTAAGCTCTAGACTAAAAAAATGTGACATTAGCTGACATAAGGTACCTACGAAGATCAGGTGAGAAACAACAATATCCTTTCTGAACACGAGAATAACCAAGGAAGACACATTTGAGAGCACGAGGAGCTATCTTATCTTTCCCTTGGGCTAAGTTATGAACGAAATATGTGCTCCCAAAAATACGAGGGGGAAGAGAGTATAAAGATGACTGGGGAAACAATACAATGATCTGATTTTGGATGGCAGATAAAGGCATCCGATTAATCAAATAACAAGTTGTGAGAACTAAATTGCCCAAAAAACGCAACGGAACATGAGATTCAATGAGAAGTGTGCAAGCAGTCTCAATGAGATACCTATTCTTTCTCTCTGCAACCCTATTACGTTGAGGGGTATGAGGACAAAATGTCTGATGAATAATTCCTTGAGAAGTCATAAACTACTGAAACTGAGAGGATAAATATTCTAAGGCATTATCACTCCGAAAAGTGCGAATAGAAACACCAAATTGTTTTTTTAATTTCAGCACAATAACTATGGAATATAGAAAACAACTTAGAACAGTCTTTCATTAAAAAAAAGCGAAATACATCTTGAATAATCATCAATGAAATTAACAAAATAAAATCCCAAGGTTGAACTGACTCTACTAGGACCACATATATCAGAATGTACTAAAGAGAAAACAGACTCTGCATGACTCTTAACACTACGCGGAAAGGTGGTTCGGGTATGTTCCCCAAGCTGACACGACTCACAATCTAATGTAGACAAACTAGGCAATCTAGGCACAATCTTCTGAAGCTTGGATAAACTCGGATATCCTAAATATCTGTGAATTAGGGCTGGAGGATCTGTAACGAGAGATTCCATGGAGGGATTGAGTGGCTTAAGGTACCAATCGTCTGTCCCGTATATGGGATTAGTTTGTCCAACTCCTTTTGCTTTAGTTTGTAACCCATTGGCTAAAGTAATTGCGGGAAAAGACGGTGAATACATAATATTTGACAAAAGTTATTTATTACCAGAGATATGATCAGAAGCGCCTGAGTCCATGACCTACGGTCCAAGAGTACTAGACTGGAAAGCACAAGCAAAAGAATTACCAGCGACAGAAGTATTGGTCTGAGCACCGAAGCTACTTGTGGAGATGTCTACTTACTTGCTCAATACTGAAGGAACTCATTATATTTTCCTTCAGATAAAGAAAATCCCTAGCTACTTGTAGTTTCGGTCGAAGCAACATGAGCATTTCTGGTGGTCGACCATGCAAAGAATAACACAGTTCATGAGTGTGTCCAAGTTTATTACAATAAAAACATTTGGGTCGAGATCTTTCAAAACGACCTTCTCATCGTCTATTCTCCATAGTTTGAGATGCCCGATTTTTCACTGTTTCTGATGTGAGAACATAGGAGTCATCTGTCTGTGTGATGGGTGTGATGAGATCACTGGGTGATGCAGCAAGGCGAAGTAATAGAATAATTCTTGTAGGGATAGTCGGTCTAGCTAAAATCTGGTCACACATTGAATCAAGGTCATTAGGAGGTCTAGCAAGTGTAAGAACTAGAAACATCTTCTGTCGTTGCTCTTGTTGCTTTTCAATACTAGCCGACAACAACAACAACATCCTAGTATAATCCCACCAGTGGGGTCTGGAGAGGGTAGTATGTACGCAGACCTTACCCCTACCCCGAAGGGCAGAGAGGCTGTTTCCAGGAGACCCTCGGCTCAAGAGAGCATATCAAATTCTCAATTTCCTCCATGACTGCCTGTACTTGTCCCAAGTAAGTAGACATATCAAATTCCTTTTTCTTCAAGTTTGTCATCCGTGATATCACATCATAGAAACAAGATATATCATTAGTGTATAAAGTGCTAGTCTTTTCCCAAACTAAATGACATGTCTGGAATGGACGAAACAAAGGCATCAACTTGGAATCAATAGATCTGTCACGCCCCATCCTCGGGGAGCGTGACTGGCGCTCAACCGAGTCAACCCGGTCGAGCAAACTTATTAGACCTTACCTACCCGACTCGTTCATGATTCAAAAAGCGAACGCGTTACCATTAGTTAAACAGGGAAGAGATCGTGCATATAAACATCGCTAGTTCATTTTACATCATATTCATTACGCCATAGTTAAGTTCCCAAAATTACATTCAGTTTACAATTTAGTGGTACAAGAGTTTAAAATACAACACAGTCCAGTGATCCATCCAACACCCATACACAACCCACACAAACATCTACAGAGCCTCTAAAAAGATACAAAAGACAGTCATGATAATGCCGGCAACAAGGCCCTGGCTATACCTCAAAACGTGGTAACTTATGATAAAAGATGTACTACATGACCCCCGGAAGAAAGGGGGCTCACCAAGACTCCTGAGAGGAGGATGCGCCGCTATCTGGGATCCGCACTGTCTACTGCGAAACCACCTACATCCATTCAAAAATGTAGCGCCCCCGGCAAAAGGAACATTAGTATTGTCGAATAGTACTAGTATGCATAACTTAAACACCGTCTCCTTAGAAAGATCAATAGTACAAGAAGAAGTAATCACAAAATCAATTAAAAACTGTAGATAACACCACAACATCAAATAAGGGATCACATAAGTGTTCAAGTAAGATTTTTATAGATTTAACTTAGGCCATTATTAGCATTGCTACCTCATTATTCACAATATCATCGCACTCTTATACAGAGTTCGATCACGACCTGATCGGCTAGGTCATCTCCTTGGAGATATTTTTCCACAATCTCAATTCCCGTTTCAATTCCGGTTCAATTTCCAGCACAATACCACCATGTGTGCGACATGGCGTCCGATCACGGCCCGATCAACTAGGCTGTCTCACTCAAGACATTTCCATTTTCCATCAATCATCTCATTCCATATTTCCCTCACATATTTCAGTTTCTTCGGCACTAGTGGCCACAATTGTTATATCACACTTGGCCGCATTTCATAATTCGAGTTCTTTCCCTTATTTCACATTATTATCAATTTTGTCAACAAGCCTTCCAATTCAAGATATTAAGTACATACACAGAAGAATTTATGAATCATGGACATATAGAGGCTTTCACATACTTTGGCAATTCAACACATACTCCATATCTTTAACACATTCTCAAGTGACAAGATAGCATAATGGGAGCATTCAAATACATTTTTGCACATAAATTCTTACAACACAAACACTATGGAATCTCATCTTCTACCTCAGTCAAGGTTGAGACTTACATCAATTGTATGGACACTATGGGGGTTCAATTTCTAAGAGGAGGATTTTTTAGCCATACATACATCAATAGAGCTTTTCTTTACGTTCTACCATAAATTCCGGGACCCTTAGCACCTTTAATCTATTTTAGAAATGTCACAAGATGATTCAAAAGTTAGAAAGATATGTTTTTAAGGCCTTTTGTGAAAGATTCAACCAACCCATACCCCATCCTTTAACA